AGTCAAAAACAGGTAGGGACAAGCCCAGCCTCAAGGAAGGTACCTGCGCTTTTCTGCCAGCCTCTGCTCCCCGATAAAATGGGAACTGAGGACACCGTGAAGGGAAACTTTATAGCACAGCAGAATAGATTATGAAATGTTTAACAACAGGAAGCATTTCTTAAAAAAAAAAAAAAAAAAAAAAGGCAAGGCAAGAGTTATTCTGCATATTTACCTTACCTAGATTTTTCTTTATTATTATTTTTTGCTGTAAGAGTCAGAATAAACTCCACGTTGTGAATGAAAAAATTTTATCTAGATAGTAAAGGGGAATCAACAGCATCAAACTGAACACCGATTTTCAGTGGAGCCCAGTTTTAACTCTTATTTGCCCTGAGAAAGGATGAAGCCAGTAAAAACAGTTCAGAGAATGAAAGCTCGGAACAGAGGTTTACGTATGAAGGAAAAAGTGATGAATGGGTGGGGCTTTGGCTGTAGCTATGTTTTATTTCAGAAAGAGAAAGAGAGCTCAGAAGAGAATATGGTAAAATGTTAATAGGTATTAAATTGAGATGGTGATACCTTGTGTCTGTTATTAAATGAACAGTTTTTAAGTGTTCTATATGCCCGAAATCTTTTATAATTAAAACAACTGTTAAAAGAGAATGTGAAGACTTACACAGCAAAACTAACTGGAGGTTCTTTGATATGAAAGAAACATGCAGACCGAGTTCTAGAAATAATCACACGGTAAGAGAGCATCTAAGCCTAGCCTACACTGAGCTTATCTGAAATAGGGTTTCAAACGTGGGACAAAATTTCAGTTGAAAAAGGAGGATCTGGGTAGCCTCCTACAGTTAGTTTTTAAATTATTTAACCTGAGGTATATGTGGACAGTCAACAAAAGAGTAAGCCAAGCAGGTTATATATTTACGTGGTCTGTAAGGTACAGTTAGGGGTGTGCACCCCCAAACCACAGCCAGCCCCAACAGCTTCCAGGGTGGCCCGCCCCTTTGCTGCAGCCAGCATGTGACTGAGGGCATGCTCAACCACCTGCCTCTCAGGGCTGCTCAGGGAGTGGTGTGATCTCACAGAGGCATGATGGGAAAAGAGGGAAGGAGGCGGGAGGGGAGAGAAGAATAAGAGGCTGTATATAGGTGAGGAAAAGGCAGAGCCCATCACATTTTACCGTTAGGCCTGAACAAATGTACTTTATTAAGTATGTGGCATATGCAAATCTCAGAAATCTCATTCCTTTCCAGTAAATGTCAATGCCCTCCCTTTGAAGTGCCTGTGGAATGGGTTCTGAGGGTCGGGGGGGGGGGGCATGCTCCATTGCACCCCCCTCCACCGCAGGCAGGAGGAGGACCATCCCAAGGATGGTCCCACTGCTCACACACAGCTGCTCTGCAGGTTCCCAGCCTGCACTGAGCCAGTCTGCACTTTCACTTTCTCTTCTGTAACAGTTCACGCCGACAGCCAACAGAACCTCTTCTGTTAACTTTTAGATGTGCAGCTACCATAGAATATGAAACATTTAAGATGTTTTATTTTCTTCTCTTTTCTATCTTTCTCCCTAATATCCAATGATGCTAGCTCAGAGATTCTGGAAGAAATTATACGGTTGCCATGATCTTGAAAATAAGTATCTACCAATAACCAGGAAAAGTATGTTTGCCAACTAATATACTTAGATAATCCCCTGAAACCTATGTGCTTTACAGCAGAAAAGTACGCGAAGGACAAAGGTTGAGGATGATTCGATGCTGCATCTAGATGAGTAGTCTTCAGGCAGGGTGATTTTGCCACCCAGGAGACATCTGCCAATGTCTGGAGACATTTTTGTTGTCACAGCTGTAGGTATGTTATTGGCATGTACAGGGATGCTGCTGACTATCCTGCATGGCACAGGAAAGCCCTTTACAACAGAGTTTTCTGGCCCCAAATGTCAACAGTGCTGAGTTTGAGAAACGCTGATCTAGCTGTGTCTGCCCCGAGGCTGCCCTTCCAGCCTCACACAGAGCAGGTGCCTAGTTACCTCCTGCAGAAGACACGTGCAATTATAAAGATCCTCCTAGTAGGAGGCATACACTGAGAGCACGTCTTTCTTCTGCCTAAATTTTACAGGGAAAGGGGATTTAAAATCCCCTTATAAACTGAAAGGTCGTCCTCGGCAATTCATTATGGAAAGATGAAAGTGATACTGGAAGAAGAACTGTGGAAAAAATATCTCATGGTTTTTTCTTCCTCTTCCTCCTCTCTATTCTTCTGATCAAGAGTTTCTAACATAAATGAAATTACTTCCTTTAACTGTTACAAAACAGCAGAGCCATTTACACTCAGTGAACAGTGATAGGCTAGGAGAATAATGCTAGTTTGTAACAGATCCTCTGAACTGTTCTTCCTTTTCTTGCAAATGGATTAAATGCTTCATGCTTAATACATGTATGTTGAGTTAGTGAATAAAAATAAATGGGTAGCTGAAATAATAAGGCTGTATGTATTTTGACTTACTTTATGATTAGTTGTTTATGTATCTGTATTTCCCACTAAGTATTAAATTCATTGATACAGAAACTGTAATTTGACAAAAACATCCAAGGTCTATTAGGTTGTTTGATTTCCAATTATTTTGAAAATGTAAGGCAGCAACCACTCCATGAGAAGGATGCGTGAAGACTGAGCGCAAATAGATGTATAAAGTTTTTTATTGGAAAGTAAATTTACAATCAAGTTAATGCCATGTACTTGTTAGTATCAAGAATTGTTACTCAGCCACAAAAGACCAGAGCAATAGAAGTAAATAGTTCATGAAATGCCATAATTTACATTTTTGTACAGAGCCAGTCCAGAAAAAATCTCCCAGTTTTTTTTTTCACTGTTAATTCTTCAGTAATTATAATCAGTGTCAATTCTGATAAAATGTATCTTTCAATTATCCTTATCACACACACGTGGACACATACAGTTGATAGACATGGCACACAGATACGTGTTGAAGAGATACGTGCTGGATCTAACTCCGATTATCTGAGTATCTTTCACCCACTGAGCCTCTTTCTCCCTTGTTTCCACAGTTGTAACTCTCTGGCCCTCATTGCACCATTGTCCTCCCATGTCCTGTGCCTAGGTCCCTACCCCAGCACCCCAAATGCACACATTCCAGGTGAGAGTTCCATGAGTAGTGGTCGGCGATAGGATAAAGAGCCACCAGTCCTGTGAGGAAGGCAGCAAATCCTCCGTGGGAGCCTCACTTCCCCCAGAGGCATTCTACTTTAACCTGTCAGGGTTGTTATGAGGACTAGAAGAGGAACCTTATGCAAAGCACTGGCACATCTTTGGTGCTTAAGAAATGCTAATTCCCTTGTGTAATTGCAGCCTCTTTCCTCACCCAGATTCTAAAGGAATGAGACCATAAGACTGTCGTCTTCTGTGAACTAAACACATCACATTTACTCTGCTGAATGACCTTGACTAAGAAGAACATCCTTCATTCCTCAGGAGAGCTAGGAGACTTCAAATGAGATTGGTGGTACTCAAACCACATAATATGGGTGGGTTTCATTCAAAAGATAAAGAGTAACATCAGAGTGTTCCGTCTTTTGTTTTGGAACAGGAGTAAGATTCAGAGCGGCCTGGGCTGGAAGTGGGGACTGAGGACAGGGAGGAAAGAAGCTGCAAGCCTGGTAAAACCAAAGACAAACGTCCTCGGCACCGTGATTCTACTGAGGGTCTGCGCCGCTGCCCTTCACCTGTTCGCAGAAACAAACACACACAAACACTAAGGCCAAAAGTATGTCACATCTTAGGGGGCACACACACCTTAGTGGGAACTAACTTGAGAACCTTTTGCTGAAGCTTTGAATTATTGAACAAAACAAATGTTTATGAACGACGAAATTACAACGGCTGACAGGCTTATCTGCAAAGCCATTATAAATCAGTCTGTGAAACATAACACCATTTATGAACATATACAACTCAAATTAACTTAGAGAAAGATATTCTTCGTAAACTAACAAGGAGAAGAAGAATCTGAAGATGTGTAAAGGGCTCAACCAAGCACACCAGAGGCATAACAAGCAGTACCTTCCAAGGACCATCACACATGGATGGATGTACATTTTCTCAAACTGAGAAGCTGGGGTTCTTCCAGGCTCTCTATGGGGCACGTTATATATATATATATATATATATATATTTCATTTAATCTCTAAGACACTCTATGAAGTACATACCATCAATATTCTGCATTTTACCCATTAGGGTACTGAGGTTAGAAGTGTTGGATAACCTAGTCAAAGCCATGCAGATAGTCACAGTCTGGGTCTGAATTCATGATCTTAAATGCTATGCTAAATAATTCATACACTCAGTCATCTGTTGCATTTCTCACTAAATCTCTAAAGAGTTCAAAGTAAGCATTTCTTTTAAAGACTTATTAAAGTGTCAAGAAGCATACAAGTAAAAAACACTTTAAGGTAATGAGGAAATAGTAAAAGTTGGTTAGCTCATGTTGAAATAATTTCTACTAAATGGAAATAATAATGGAGTTTTAAAATCTGACACTGTTATTGCTAAGAGGCAAGTTCCTACTTAAAAATTACAATAGCGTCTGACTGGTGTGGCTCAGTGGCTGAGCACTGACCCATGCACCAAGAGGTCGCTGGTTTGATTCCCGGTCAGGGCACATGCCCAGGTTGTGGGCCCAATACCCAGTGGGGAACGTGTAAGAGGCAGCCAGTTGATGTTCTCTCTCATCGATGTTTCTATCTCTCTCTCCCTCTCCCTTCTTCTCTCTCTAAAAATCAATAAAGAAAAAAATAATTATAATAGTGACACTGGTGATTGCGGGGGTGTGTGGAGGTGGAATAGGGCATAGAGAGGATAAATGGTGATGGAAAAATAAAATAATCATGTGAATATTTCAGCTTAGGGGTATTCATGTTAAGCAGTTCCTCACTTTTGCGTCTCGGAAATCAAATCTTCCAAAATCCCATAGAAAGATACCATGAACTTACTTTGATCTGAGGGTAGGACTTCTTATTCTTCTCACTAGATGCACCGGGGAGTCCGCCATGGGACGGGCCTTCACAGACATAACGGAAACGAAATCCTCTCTGCCAAGGTGAGCACAGAGCCAACAAGTTTGAGAAATACTTAATAAAATGTACCAGGACAAAGTTATACACACAAGTGTAATTCTTTTGTGTATTAGATGAAAGAGAAAACACAAGAACTATGTGGAAGAGGACTGTGTGAATGAGGACCACGTCCCTAACCCTGCAGAAGCTCTCCTGCTGTGCACACAGTGGCGTGAACTGCTGAACAGCTGGCATCAGCCTTGGACGCGACATGCTACGGCTTGTGTGAACCGGAGCTTCTTCATCTCAAGTTGCTGCCGCCACGCTCTCAACTTGGCCACATTACTCCAAGTCATGCTTCTTTGACTCTTACTTAAAGGAATTCCTTTATCTGCTCTGATCACAGTTGGTTCAGGAGAGAACACAGAAATGCCTTGTTAACTATAGCACGTCAGTGTTGTAGAACACAGCCCATGTTCGACTCCACATTTGGCCAGCTTCTCTCAATAACTCAGAAGATAAGATTTTTGATTTTATGATTATTGGTATTATCAAGCTCAAACTGTCTATATGAACTGACCTGAATGAGCCCAAAACCAGCTCCTTTAAATATTAACTGAAGAATTTTACAAAGGTTGTATATCAATGAAGAGTTAGCTGGAATTCTTTACTATGTGTACAGTGGGCTTAAAAACACCTAAAACACCTAATTTATACAAATGAAATTAGGCTAGACTATCTTTAGGTCTATCCTAGTTCTAACATTTTATGATTTACAAAAGTAAAAATTACAATTTGTATACATATTTGTGTACAAAGAATAAAACAAAGGCAATTATGAGAATGAATCTCATAATTGTATTAAGGAAACTTTCAATGTATTTCCTAAAAGGTGAAACTTTATAATGATGTAAATCAATCTGTGATAGTGTTAGTAGTTTATAATTATACAGTCACTACTAGATGGTTTTTCTTTTTTCAAATTCACCCTTTGGTCAAAGAATATGTTACCATACTTTAAGTAATAATCTCACCAGTTATTTACTTTTACTGTGGTCTGACTTTGTGTAAACAGCAGGCCACGAGGAGCTCTGCACACTCACTGCTCGCTGATGGGGGCTTCGACTCTGCCCACGTAGAGGAACAGCGATGCTGGCAAACACCAAGGTTGTAGCAGCTTTGAGCTCATCGACAATGTAAAATGTCTGCCTTCCTTAGACTGCATTACATGTCATCAGTCCTCATGTAGGGTCTTGGGAAACAGTCTCTGAGTGGTTCAGGGGCCCTGAAGGAATTGAAACCTTTGGCATCTGGAACTGTCTGTCCCTATACTCTCTGAGATCTTCCTGATTTGCAAAGAGGATCAGCATGTTTCATGGGATGAGTAGGCCTGAAGAAAATTCTTTAGTGAAGGAAAGCTCAAGTCACAGATGGGTCTGGAGGTATGATCAGCTCATCAAAGTGGGACCGAAATACTAGGGAAGCCTTCTGAGGTGAAGTTAATCATTTAGGGGCAACGTTTCTATTTTGCCTCTCAAAAAATTCCAACTAAAAAATAAGTTACAAATTTAGCCCTATACCTTTCGTAAACAAAGGCTGTTGGCTTATTTTTAATAATTAAATGGAATTTCTAAAAGCATGAAGAAGCATCAGCATATGAACGGTTAGCCTCCAGCACAAAGGTAGAAATGTACTTGACTGCTACTCAATTTAAATACAACTTCCGTTTTTAAACAGTATTAGATAATTATCACTGAATAATATGCAGCAGAACTGGATATTTTAAAGATTAGGAGTCTATGCTATGATTCATCTCTGTCAGAAATAGGGAGAATTGTGGCAAAGAAACCTCAAAGAAAAAAGAACGTTTTCTAACTTTTATTTTTAAAAATGCAATAAAGCAATTCTTTATCTTGAATCACAAAATTCCTTTAGGATAGTTGGAAAAATATATGCATGTATAATTTTATATCTTATTGGGAGTGGTATCAAATAGAATATGAATAAGCGACATGTCTTAATAGCTTGCTTAAGTTAAAAAAACAATAGAAACTTTTCATGGTTGCAAAAGAGTATCTAAAGTTCTAAAAGAATTTTAACCTGAGGGTGGAAATTGAATACTTTTTTTAAAAAGGAAGATAGGATATCTTCAAATGCATAGTATAGATGCATTTCTGATTCTAAATTTCCGAGATGAAAGGTTTGCGAATCCACAGCCATTCATCTCAGTAACTCCACTTGCTTCAGATGAGTCATCAACCTCAAAGGCAAGGCTACATCCACCCGGTCAGAAAGTCTGATGTGAATACAACTTTCTTACTTTCACTGGAGTCACACATCAAAATAACATCAGTGAATAAACACATTGTTTTACTCAGATGAGCTTTTACAGCTCCATATGTAGTGAATTAAGTTTTGAATGTTGGAAATATATAACCCTTTAGGGAAATTAAAAATGTCAAATTTCCCTTATAACTGTTAGACCCATAACAAGAAATTGCATTTAAAATTCTCATTGTAGTGCTATGCTAATGAAAATGGATATTTGAAGAAATGCTTTGGTATGCAGACAAGTAACTTTCAGTTGATTTTTCAGCTTCACAAATTACCCAGATCGTCCATTTAGAAAATTTTCCAGGAAGCCAGACCCCTGCATAGAATTTTAGGAAAAGTTTCCCTGGTAGGGTCTTCGAAAGAACTGCTGACCTCCTATGAGAAGTCACTACTATGGAATCGGAAATAAGTAAAGGAAAGTAATGTTGGCAGACTGTGGAGTCAGGACGTGCCACCTACAAGCAACTAGAACAATGCCCCAAAGTCTCATGTGGCATTCCAGCCCACCCCCCAACTTTTATCTAAGATCAGCCTTAGTCTATTTGGTCACAATTAACATATTTATCTCCTTTAAATGTTGACCAAAATCCAAATATATATTTAATGCCATGATTATAGGAACCACAATAAATGCTTTATTTAAGTTCTTGACCTAGTTAGCACTTGTTAAATGCTACACAATTAAAGGTGCTATGCTCAGTCACCTGAGCTACTAAAAATATTCAGGAAAGGTATTGGGTAATATAAGTGCAAGACAGCAGGTATGCACACCCTCAGTTTCACACAAATTTGGTAAGCATATCCATTCAGAGATTTACTGACCGTGTCCTCAATCTGTAGAGGACTATACCATTACTTCTATCTCCTAATAATTGAAATCTATAGGCAAATATTAAAGATTCTCTTTCCTCCCTTTTCACAGTGCCAGTCCCACCCAATTCCCAATCAATATTATCCACAGATTTGGAGCAGGGTGAGGCAGCCACGTCACGTCACAGGCTCCCCTACAGAATCCAGTGGTAAGAGGAAGAGCCTGAGAACATAAAATGCTCTTCTCCTGACCCCCAAGAGGCTGAGCCTAAAGTTTACACCAGAAGGAAGAGAACTCAACTGTCTGTTCTAGTACTATCTATCTCCCACTGGTAGTTTTAGTATCTTAGGGTACATGTTCCGAAGACAGAACAGAAAAGGCTGGAGCTACGAAAGGTAGGAGGAAGGCTGACAGGGCGGCACGTGCCTGGGCAGGATGGATGACGTGACTCCGTGCACAGGAGCTCCATGGAAGTGTATTTCCGTATGAATGGGGAGAACCTATCTGTCCTAGGAGAGGCTGATAAGCAATGTTGGTAGAGATAGTAAGGTTCCAAGGATCTATAATTAACTGAAGTTTCACAGAACTAGGTATTGAGGCTCAAGACAGTCTGAAGAATGACCAAAAGAGACGTAAGATGTGGAACAAATTGTTCCACAATTGGCAGGTTGTTAATTTTCTAGATCAGCTACTTCCTCCACAAAATTCAGTTACAATTTTTGATGCTTGAGATATTAATATTAGACTTACGGATCTAACATTTCAAGAGAAACTCCCCCCTCCCTTTAATCTTACCTGTTTGGGTTGCTCTAATATTTGAAGGTATGGGCCATCTGCTAAAAAAAAAAACAAAAACAAAAAAACAATAAGCAGAATCAAAAGAATGTGAGGCTTCTCAAATTTGGTATAAAATATTAAGCAAGTAAAAACCTGAAATTATGCTTTTAAATAGAGGTTTCAATGAAAGATTTTTAGCTAAAATTCTACAAGGATATAATCTATCTTCTTCATTTGAATATTAAATTTATCCTTATTTTAACAGCTTTACACTTTTAGAGAAGCACAATAAATAAACATTTGTTGAATGGTGATGGTACTTTGTACAAGCCAACAAAAAGCCTGATGTTTGGTAAAGATCAAGATGGTAATAACCTTCATGATCGCGTGTACTAACAAAGCTTTTATAAATGGCACAAATACCAATTAAAATCAGCAATGACTTCCTGGACTCTATGACGTGTTTTTGTTTTTTTTTTGTCCTTTCCATCATTAGATACTAACTTCTTCCCCTTAAAAGGCAGATGTTCCCTGTGACATTGTAAGACTGAAGGGGCAGCTACATGTGTGAAATACATAGATAATGGTCTCAGGCTGTCTGTTGTTCTTGACACCAACTTTCTGGTTCCTTTCCCTTACTTGAATCCATAAATATTGCCTTCATTCCCTAACTGACCAGCTTGTCCCCCTCCCTCCCAAATTTAATTTGGTCTATCAGATATGATGGACTTTTCTAATTAATCCATAGCTTTTGATGTTTGTATACAATTTCTGAATACTGTGCTCTGATATAAACTTTGTTCTAAAAAAAGCACAAGCATTTTTAAAATCCTGAAAATAATTTCATTGCTGGTAGGTGCATGCCAATTAATTATCATAAAAACATAAAAAAAAACCCAAAAACTAGAAGCTTAGTCCATATCCTAATTATATCTGACTTTGGAAATTCGAAGGAAAATCAGAACCTCTGACAGCATAAAAGTTCCTAAGCTCCCCAGGGCATCTTATGTCAACAGTATAATAACCCATCGCTCTGCAGTAAGTAAAGGCATATGCAGCTTCTCACTTGTTTGAATGTAAATTAAAAAGGCTGGTACTAAAAAAAAACAAAAAACAAACAAACAAACAAAAGATCCTATGAGAATGCTTGTGTCCATTTCAATCTCCACCATCCCTTAGCCAGAAGTTTAAGACCTATTCTTTTAGATAAATAAATTTGTGAAGAACTAAATATGTTCAGGGTGAAATTTAAGAGAGAAATCACTTTTATTCTTTCAGTTTTATGATGAATCAGAATAAGGGCAGAAAAGTTTAGGAAACAAAGGTATAATTATTTCTTATTACTATTCAAGAAATTTATAAAAAATCAGCTGAAAAATGGCCAAATTTGAAGCAAAACATATACACAAAAGGAAATATGGGAAGGGACTGGCCAATGTAGTATAATTGAGGTAAATTATTTCTTTTATTTGTACAAAATTCATCCCTGTGCATTTTAAACTACTTTTAGAAAAGAAATTGCAATTTTAAGATTCTCAAACATGGCTAGAATTTAATTTTGATAAGAAAATAAAACCAATTAGAAACAGAAATATTTTCACACCACTAACATATAATTTGTATGTCAATATAACAAATATAATCATAAAAATATTCCCTCTAGGATGCTAAATGAACATATCAAGAAGAGAGGCTTCTAATAAAGCAGCATTTGGAAGCAATAAAAAATATAAGGGAGTTGGAGAACATTTACATTAAATTTCAATCTCTTATTATTGTTATTATTATTATTTATCAATTAATGTTAATTTAGTTTGCAATTACAGTTGACAGCCAATATTATTTTATATTAGTTTCAGGTGTATCTCTCACTACTGACTTTTCTAAAAGTACTTGAAGTTTATCTATTATTTTTGCTGAATGACTAAATTTCCTTAAAAAATGTGATATTTCAAGGTTTGGGAATTTTATTAGTGAAATGAGGCCATTTTTCTCTTCCAGGGAACACACTCAAAAGTTAAATCAACTAGAAAATTAGATTTGATACGCATATGTTTGTTTTAATGCCAAGTTTCTTCCAGTCACATGTCTATCCCATGAAGTGACAACCCACTTATACAGAGAAGTTGAAAATACAGCACAATGTGCTGTTCGGTGTGGCTCAGTGGTTGAGTGTCTAGCTGTGAACCAAGAGGTAACCGGTTCAATTACTGGTCAGGGCACATGCCCAGGTTGTGGGCCTGATCCCCAGTGGGGGGCTTGCAGGAGGCAGCCAATCAATATTCTCTCTCATCGATGTTTCTGTCTCTCTCTCCCTCTCCCTTCCTCTTTCTCTAAAATCAATAAAGAAAAAAATATTTTTAATAAATACACTACAGTGTTATAGACTTAACAGCTTTACTAGATCCCATAATTTTCAACAACTAGGACTACTTAAGAATTTAGATCTCAATAAATAAAAATAAAACAGACCATGTGAAAATTACAACATAGGTTTCCATAATCTTTCCACCCCTTTAAAACATGAATGAAACGGCAGACATTTTGGATTATAAAAACTTGACTATGCTACTGCAACAGAGAGGGGAAAATATAACAATAAAAATGATGAGGGAATAACTGGGAAATAAGATTTTTGGGGTATAATTTTAAAAGTTTTAATAATATCATGGCAAAATAACTTCTACAACGTTAAATTCTGACCACAGAATATTTACTGAGATGGGTTTTTTTTTGGTAACCTTGTTTCTATCTCCATAAACTTGATGAAATAAAAACATTATGAAAGCATTTGCCTCCGGATACTGTTTGGCATCTACAAGGCATTAAATGGAAATGTATGTGTTTCCTAAGGGCAGCATCAAGCTCTGATGTTCCCAATAAAGCATTAATATTAAAAAAATACTTTGATCCCAGAATGGAAAGTTCACAGGAAACACAGACGCTACCAAGACATTGGCTTGTTCTTCACAGGAAGCCGACCAAGAGCTCAAACTGGACAGCAGTCCGTGAGCTCCCAGACACAGTAGCCTACAAGATAGGTTTTGTGGGGTAAAGAGGAAAAGCTCCCAGCAATACAACTTTTGATAGTGAGGGTGAAGGGATAGCAGATTTATTATTTTCCTCCCATGAACTTCTAGAAATAATAGAGATAAAAATGCAGAAAAACATTCTGGTCTAAAAAATGAAAAGCAGGTACCAGAATAACAATAACAGCTTTAAATGAGAATGATACAAATTAGATCAAGTCTCCCAGTGAGGCCATGGCAAATCGAAGAGATGACGTCCACTTCAGTGATTACAAAACAACTTGTAGTTTTATATACAACTTGCATCATTTACTCACACTGCTTCTGAAAGTCTGTTAAGTCTCATTGGTGATGTGAGGAGCATATAAAAAGAGCGGTCACACACTACCCTAGCCGGTTTGGCTCAGCAGTTAAAGTGTCAGCCCGTGGACCAAAGATTCTGGTCAAGGGCACGTACCTTGGTTGCGGTTCAGTCCCGGGCCCTGGTTTGGTTTGTGCGGGAGGCAACCAATCAATGTGTGTCTCTCACATCGATGTTTCTCACTCTCTCTCGCTCCCTTCCATTCTATCTGAAAATCAATGGAAAAATCTCTCTCTCTCTCTCCTTCTCTCTCCCCCTCCCTCCCACTCTACCTGAAGATAAATGGAAAAGTATCCTTGGGGGAGGATTAAAAAAAAAAGGGGGGGGGGCCATCACACAGAGCTTACATACAAACCAATAAATAAAAAAAGAGACTAAATATATATTTTTTAAATCACTTATATGAGATTAAACAATTACTGGGTGGGGATAATTAACACTGTCATGTTAGAAAGATGATTATCATGCATTTTATCCAACTGGTCAGAATGTAAAGCTAAAAACTTTTTAAAAAGATGATTTTTTTCCTTACTACGCTGATTTTTATTGTTATTTTTGTATCCCAAGTGCCCGGCATACACAATGGGTACTCCAATAAATGTTTTTGGAATAGATCTGAGGTGTTGAGACTGCCTGAGTCTGGAACAAAGCAAAGAGGAGTTAAAAATATCTTAGAGGTGGTAGAATTGATTCAAAGGGAAAATCCTTATATTGAGTGAAAAAATTCCTTCTGAGCTGTCCTAACAGATAGTAGGAACAATTGTAAGTCACACAATGATAGTGGGGATGAAACATTATTGTGCAAATATATTTCAAGAAAGCATATTAAAAGATTATTTCTTAGAACATAAATCACCATTTCCTTTCTGGGTACATCACTAACTTTCTGAAAGAGACCACTAGCAAATCCTGAATTAAAAAAAACGAAAAGCCAAACGACAGGGTAGTAGGCGTGAGGAGTTTCCTTACCCGTTGGCAGTGGCATCTCTGACTGAAATATTTCTGAATTAAATATTGTATGATTCAAAGGATCCAAATGAAACATCTGTAACAAAGAAAATTAAATTTTCAATCATTATTTTTCCAACATTGTATTAAACATTTAAAGTTGGTAGACCTAAAACTTAGTTACAGGAACAAAATAAAGCCAAATACAAAATTTGAAAATATTTCAAATTAGGATTTTAAAAATACCTTCTCATGTGTATGAAACTTTACACAGGGTTGGACTGTGTTACTACTGTGACAAAGGGTTTTGAAAAGAATGACCTAGCTAGCCCTGGTCGGTTTGGCTCAGCGGTTAGAGCATCAACCTGCAGACCAGAGAGTCCTGGGTTTGGTTCCCGCTAGGGGCACGTACCAAAAAAAAAAAGAATGACCTAGCTATAAAGTGCACATAGGCAGCACACTTAACAATCTTCAGGGCCCCGTCTATGTTTATCATATAATGGATACTTAATAAATATTTGTTGAATGAATGACTTGAAGCTCATACTCTCTTAGAAATATAAGCATAAGAATATAATCCTATTGATGATAGCCATTCTGGCAGGTGTGAGATGATATTTCATTGTAGTTTTAATTTGCATCTCTCTGATAATTAGTGATGATGAGCATTTTTTCACGTCTATTGGCCATCTGTATATCCTCTCTGGAGAAGTGCTTACTCAGGTCTTGTGCCCATCTGTGTGTGTGTGTGTGTGTTTGTAATCTTTTTTTTCTTCTTGTTTATTTTTGTTACAGATGTTTCTCCTTTTTCTGCCCCCGCAGACACCCTCCTCCCTACCCCACCCCCTGCCAAGCATTGTTGTCTATGCCTATTGGTATTAAATACATGCATATAAGTTCTTTGGTTTATATCATACCTCCCCCCACACCCTTCTCCTCTGAGGTTTGTCAGTCTGAACCATACTTCTTTCTATGTCTCTGGTTCTGTTTTGTTCATCAGCTTTTTTTGATCATTATATTCCACAAATAAGTGAGATCATGTAGTATTTTTCTTTCTCTGATTGGTTTATTTCGCTTAGCATAATACTCTCCAGGTCCCTCCATGTCGTCTCAACAGATACAAGATCATTCTTTCTTACACATGCATAATGTTCCACTGTGTATATGTACCACAATTTTTTTATCCACTCATCTAGTGATGGACACTTGGGCTGTTTCCAGATCTTAGCAATTGTAATTTTGTTTTCCTTTTGTTGAGCTATATGAGTTCTTTATGTATTTTGAAAATCAACCCCTTATCAGATGTATCATTGGCACATATATTCTCCCATACAGTGGGTTCCCCTTTCATTTTGATGATGGTTTCATTTTTTGTGCACAAGCTTTTTTTAGTTTGATGTAGTCCCATTTGTTTATTTTTTCCTTTGTTTCTCTTGTCCTAGGAAATGTGCTGGTGAAAATTCTGCTATGTGAGATGTCTGAGATTTGCTGCCTATGTTTTCTTCTACGATTTTTGTGGTTTTGTGACTTACATTTAAGTCTTTTATCCATTTTAAGTTTATTCTTGTGTATGGTATAAGTTGGTGGTTTAGTTTCATCTTTTTGCATGTACCTGTCCAGTTTTCCCAACACCATTTACTGAAGAGACTGTCTTTACTTCATTGTATGTTATGTCCTTCTTTGTCCAATATTAATTGACCATAATGATGTGTGTTGATTTTTGGGGTTTCTGTTCTGTTCCATTGATCTATACGCCTGTTCCTGTGCCAGTACCAGGCTGTTTTGATTACAATGGCTTTGTAGTGTAGTTTGATACCCAAGGATATCCCATCTCACCAACCCCCTTCTCCTCTGAGATCTGTCAGTCCACATCAAACTAAAAAGCTTCTGCATAGCAAAAGAAACCATCATCAAAAAAAAAAGAGAACCCACTGTATGGTAGAATATATGTGCCAATGATACATCTGATAAGGGGTTGATTTCCAAAATATATAAAGAACTCATACAGCTCAACAAAAGAAAAACAAAATTACAATTGCTAAGATCTGGAAACAGCCCAAGTGTCCATCAATAGATGAGTGGATAAAAAAGCTATGGTACATTTACACAATGGAATACTATACCACTGTTAAAAAGAAGGATATCTTCCCCTTTGCAATAACGTGGATGAACCTGGAGATTATTATGCTAAGTAAAATAGCAAAAAAGTCATAGAAAGATAAAAATCCTATGATCTCACTTATAAGTGGAATCTAATGAACATAATAAACTGACAAACAAAATAGATCCAGAGGCATGTAGGCATGGAACAGAAATATCTCAGAGGGGAGAAGGCAGGAGACAAGAAGATATTAACCAAAGTATTTATATACATATATGCATAACCAATGGACACAGATAATAGTGTGTTGAAGGCCTGGGGTGGAGCAGGGGCTGGGAGGAGGAAGGTAAAAGGGTGAAAACTGGGGGACATCTGTAATACTGTCAACAATAATATTAAAAAATAAAAAATAATGTAATCCTAGAAATCTATATTTCTCTTATGATGGTAAATAAACCCCTACTCTAGACATTCAACTTCAAGTCCTGAAAGGATTAGACAGCAGTCCTGGATCAATATGCAAAAAAACCACAGAAATATTACTTACAAATCCAAGGAGCAGATAACTGAACACTGAACTCCCTCACTTTTTTTTTTTTAAACTTTCATTTACCTAGCACAGTGCAAACATACCCGGACTTTAGTGGGTGTGGTAGGCTGAATAATGGTTCCCACAAAGACATCCACATCCTAATCCCCAGAACCTATGAGTACTATCTCATACAGCAAAAGAGATTCTGCAGATGCTACTAAAGTAAGAATGCAGGGATGGGGAGACTCCTGGGTTATCCAGATGGGCCCGTTGGGAGGGATGCCGGATATCAGAGTGAATAATAGGTGTGACAATGGAAACAAGAGGTCGGAGTGGTGGAAGGGGTCACGAGCCAAGGCATGCAGGCAGCCTCTAAAAGCCCAGAATGGCAAAGAAGGGAAGGCTTCCAGAAAAAAAGCAGCCCTGCCAACACCTTGATTTCAGACTTCTGACCTCCAGCTTATAAGAGAATAATTTTGTGTTGTTTTCAGCTACTCAATTTGAGGCAATTTTTTATAGCACCAATACAGTGGGCAGGAGATATATTTTGATGGAATTATACTCTATCTTGATAAGTTACTAATACTTATCACAAGAAAAAAATTTTCTTTCCACTTAGCTTATTCAAGACTTTAAATTCATATTTCTGAGCTTGGTATTGTTCCCGCCTAAGTAAGTCATCTCTTTGAAATGTCTGTGGACAACAGAGAAAACAACCATATCCCGCTTTTCATGATATGCTACTTGGTGAGTGTGCTGGAGCTGGTGTTTGGAACAACAAGAACAACAACACACCACTATTACAATTTACTCCTTTTTCTCACCACTAGGTTCTTGAACCTAGATGCTGAGTAAATCAAGAGTAAGAAACAGTGTTTAAATAAAGAACACGTCACATTCAGTTGTGAGGTATGCAAATTTTCAATTGAGGAATAATAAATGCGCTCCACTTCACTGCCTAAGAGTCAAGTTCATCTATGCTTTTCATTGTTTGCTGAAAAGGAAATATAGGAATGAAAAAACATGTTATTGTAATAACGGGCCCCACCTTACAGTGTGTGCTCAGAGCAGAATATCAGAGCAGCAAAGATGACCAAGCAGGAAAAAAACAAACTTTCCAATGGTCCTGCAGGTGGCTAAAGGAACTGGTTCAAGGGCAAAACACCCATCTCAGGAGAGAGACACACTGCACTTCAAAGAAGAGAGCAGCTGTGCGGTGCAGCAGGCTGTGCATTAGGGCAAAGGTGGAGAGCAAATTCCAGCACACGCTACAACACAGAGGCCATCTATCCCACTGGGGACAAGTGAACTTCAGGAAACACATACCATCAGGTTTGAGACAAGGGGAAAAAACCCAAATTTCAAGGAACTTTCCCTTCAAAAACTGAAATATCAGAACATGCCGCACCCCTGTTGCTGATGATCACAAAGATGCCCACATGAGAAAAACTTTCGAAATGAATGTTTTCAGCAGATTTTACTCTTGTGTGGCATCAAGGACTATCTCTTGTTGATAAGGTTTCCTGTATGTAAACAGGAAAGCATGGTCTAAACCCAAGAAGAAACAACTCTAATGCTGGTTAGACTTTGCCTTTAATTGTTAGAAATGGCATATTAAAAACGAAAGGTAAAACACAGGTTTTTGATAATGTGAGTAGCCAAATGTCTTTCATGCTGTAATCAAAGCTTATGTTCTTAGATTTATCCTATATATCACCAGTTTTTACAATAAAGTTCAAAAGGAGCATCTCAATGTGAAAAGCAATGCATTCTCATTCTTTCTAAATCAATCAGAACATTATTAAGAGTAATGAATGCTAGATAAATCTATTTTATCTTTCAAAAGCAGTAACTGGACCCCTTAAAACTATTTCACTTTTTTTTGTTGTTGTTGTTTTTGGACCAATTGTTTGTATGTGTAAATTTGGAAAATCCATTTTTTAGGTGGTTGCCACTAAAGATTAAGCGTGAAACGATTACGAAGCCCGGCCCAGGGCGGCTGGTGCCGCAGGCTCCCTCTCCCTGTGCAGTCTAGCTAGCTACATCTTCGAAATCTCAGTTCACACAGACTTCGTCTGGAAAGTCCTCCGTGGTTTTGCTCTTTCCACCAGGCAGCACAGAGAGAACTCTTTCAACATTTCTGTCCCATTCTGTGCAAACTACTATGACAGTATTTATCACCATATGAAGCTATTTATGTTACTGTCTCTCTTGTTAGAGTGGCGGTGTCTGAAATTAGGGTCTATGTATCCCGTATTTTTTACCCCATCCTTAGCCTCTGTTCTGCTACAAAGTGATGCCTCAATAAATAACTGATGAATAAATAAACTTCAGTAGTTCACATATTTCTTAAACTCATTACATGAAAAATTTAATATTGCCACTGTAATTACCCTAGGGTCTAAAAATTGCTTTTAAATGGCTCATTTAACATATATAATTTATATAAAAATATTTTGGATAGATAAAAGAAAAATAGTAATAATCAACAAAGATTTGTTAGACTCTTCAACAGTTCTATAGGCTTCAAATTTTTCCAAGTAAAAAACTAGGAGAAAAAGAAAAAAATGAAATAATTGCTAATAGAATGAACAGTTTTATGCTCCCAGAACACATTCACTGCCCATTAAGTCTTTCAACACCCCTGTGAGTGTGGGGTTAGCACTCCTATTTTGCAAAGAAGAAAAGTAAGAATCAGCGGGTCTAAGTGATTCCTCAAGTTTTAAGAGCTCATAAGTAGCAGCCAGCACTTCAAAGCCTTCAAATTCTAAGTCCTGAAGGTCTTTTTACTATACTGATCTGCCTCCTCATTAGATGAGTTCTGAATAAATATTTTGTGTCCCTCGGCCCCAAAAGATACATTCAAGTCCTAACTCCCATACCTGTGAATGTAACTTTACTTAGAAATAAGGTCTTTGCAGATATAATCAAGTTGATGCCGTCATACTGAAGGGTGGGCCCTAATTCCAGTGACTGGTGCCTTTAGAAGAGAAAAGGGAGGGAAATCTGGATACAGAGAAATGAGAGAGACACAGGGAAGAAGGCCATGTGCTGGAGTGATACAATTACAAGCAAAGGAATGCCCAAACTGCTGGCAACCACCAGAAGCTAGGGGAGTGGCATGGGGCAGGTTCTCCTTCAGAACTTCTGGAAGCAACCAACCCCGTCATCGTCTTGACGTGCTGCCTCTGGAACTGTGAGAGAATATATTTCTGTTGCTTTAAGCCACCTGGTTTGTGGTCATTTGTTACAACAGACCTAGGACACTTTACAGTAGTACCATTTTACCTGTAGCACAAATAATTTTATGCAGCAGCGTGTGTGTGTGTGTGTGTGTGTGTGTGTGTTCGCAAGATTTAAGCTACTCATCCTAAAAGACATGTCCTCTCTGACCTTACCTGGAGGGACAGGGAAACTGCAAAAACAACTTTTACCCATTTTAGAGTTTGCCTGGCAATGACTATTGTTACCTTTGTGTACTTTAAAATATGAACACATTTACAAAAAATTATCAGTGAGATGATACCTACTTGTTCATGCCCTCCCAAATATGGATCCTCTTCTGCCATTTTGGAGCTGTATAGCAAAACAAAACAAAAGCAAACCGTAAGCCTGAAATGAACCTTAAAAATGCCACCATGCAGGAATAAACTGTATTATTCCAATAAGACCAAATATAATCCTTCTTAAAAACTATGGTCTTTTAGCATGGCTGGTGTAAGCTCAGCTGGTTGAGCATCGTCTTGAACATCAAGAGGTGGCTAGTTCGACTCCCTGTCAGGGCAAATGCCTGGTGTGCAGGAGGCTGCTGATCGATGTTTCTCCCTCTCCCTCTCTCTCTATGAGAGCAAAACATTCATCCATTTCCGGCACGCCCTCTACTGGGATCAAGCCCGAAACCTGGGCATGTGTCCTGACAGAGACTCAAACCAGCAATGGCTTGGTGCTCAGGACAATGCTCAACCAACTGAGCCACACCAGCCAAGGCCAAATATAACCCTTTTTAAAAGACCTTAGGAGGAGGACGGTATAATTCTTCCATAGTATAATTCTTCTGTGGAATCTAAATCTAACAGCAGATAGCATGCATAAGCAAGGAATTACCATTTATGTATAATCCAACACCCTTATGTCAGGCTCATAATAGTGTCCTAGAGTTTGGTATAACTAACCCTCATCCTCAGTATAAAAATCATGCATATTTGGATTCTTATAGGTCATTTGTTGTTGTCACCATGTAGACTTCAAAGATTTAGTCTTAGCTCTTCGTGTAGATTATTTCCCAACCCTTCATGAATTCTGTGATGGTGTCAGAACTGTCTCTAAGCTTTCGGTATGCCCCTAGAATCAAGAAGCTAAGAGTGGCCATTTTGCAGTCAAAAGGGTGTGCGTGGTCCGTGCATCAAGGCACCAGGAAGGTTGCTACAGAGTGCAGTGCTCTGTCCGCTAGTGCGTTCCACGGCAGCAGGCCATCCCTGCCACTGTCAAAACGGTTCAGTAGTCCTCCCCTTATCCACAGTTTCAGTTACCCATGGTTGAAAAAATTAAATGGATAATTCTTGAAATAAACAATTCATAAGTTTTAAAATGCATGTCTTTCATTTTTTAATTCATATTTGATAAATGAATACTTTCAATACATACAAATGCAATAATAGATTGTATAAGCTCATTTAGAGATAGTATCAAAATTCAAATTGTGCAAGTCAACTTAAATGTATAATCTGGGCCTCCATCTACCACCTCACACTTTGGGACTTATTTTCCAAATATAGTAACTTTGGAATTTCAAACAACTTAACTGCTAAGCTGGTAATATTGAGGAAAAAAATCAGTCAGTAAATGTTATCCAAAAGAAGAGTTTTTATTGCACCATCAGAGCAAGCTCAGGTGTTAGTTATACTCATTGTATCCATGCCTGGTAGATGTAGATAGTCTATAGATCTGAGTGTTTTATAGCCTTTCTGAATAGCATGATGAAATCCCTGCCATCCCACTCCATCCCACCCGGGGTGTGGATCATTCCCTTGTCCAGTGTCTCCATGATGTTCAAGCCACCTGCCTGTTGGTCACATAGTAGCCATTTTGGTTGTCAGACTGACTGTCACAGTATCACAGTGCTTGTGCTCAAGTAACTTTTTTTTAAACTTAATAATGGTCCAAAGGGCAAGTAGTGTTTAGCAGTGTTTTTTTTTTTTTAATTCTCTTTTTGATCCCTCACTCGAGAACATTTTCACTGATTTTTAGAGCGAGGAGAAGGGAAAGAGGGAGAGGAAGAGAGAAACATTGATGTGAGAAACATCGATTGCCTTCCACATATGCTCCAACAGGGGCCGGGGATCAAACCTGCAACCTAGGTATGTGCCCTGACCAGCAATCAAACTTGTGACCTTTAGGTGTATAGACCAACACTCCAATCAACTGAGCCACACAGCTAGGACATGATGCTGGCAATTAGGGTATGTCAAAGAGATGCCATAAAGTGCTTCCTTTAAGTGAAAAGGCGAATACTGAACAATAGGATATTTTGAGAGAAAGAGAGAGACCACATTCACTTAACTGTTATTAAAATATATAGTCATAATTGTTCTATGATGTTATTAGTTATTGCTGTTAATCTTTTATTGGGCATAATTTACAAATTAAACTTTATCATATGTATGTATGTATAGGAAAAGAACATAATATATATGTTCTGGCACTATCCTTGGTTTCAGGCATTTACTGGGGTCTTGGAGTGTATCCCCCATGGATGAGAGGGGACCACTGTATAAAAATACTGTAATATTAAAACTGCAATAAGAAGACACAAAAATAAGAGTCCTTATTATCAAGACTATAGTCTCCGATTTAATCAACCACAGCCAGATATTAATACATTGCAAATCCTAGCAATCTTCTATTATCCAGAGGCCCTGAGAAAAGTGGAGAACCACACTGTCAGATGAAATCACATACCATTTTGGACTTAGTAACTTAAGAAATATCTGTATCATTATTTTAAATATAGGTTAATTTTATTTAAATTTATAAGATCAAATTTTAGATATAGTACATGAAAAATGAAAAGATAAAAAACAAATAAAACAAAGACAACAAGGCTGAAAGCAAATATTAATTCCTGAGGCAAACTTTCCTTCTTTTTTTTTCTTTCCACCCTGTGAAGTCTATAAAGCATTCATGGGACTGGAGCTGAAAATGCTAGCTGCCCACCAAAATCTGTTCTCTCCTTTTCCACAGTGAGAGCGCGAGGGGTGAGAAAGTCTCGTGAGGATTCCGAGTGGCACTCTGCGTGGTGCTCAACTGCAGCAAGAGGGGAAAGGGCAGCTCTCCGTCCTCCAGAGCAAGAAGTCCATGCAGATTTGCAAGGAAGTATTTGTCTAAAACAAGAAATTATTGACTGGAGATTTACAAACAGCTATAATCAGTTAAGGCAAGCAGTTAAAAAGAGGGAAATTGACTTGATACAATAAAGAGGAATTAAGTCATTCGAAATTCAAGAGTGTTGCCACTGCTAAGTGGGTGACTGGATATACAGCTAAACACACCATGGTCTGTTCCTTCATCTGCAAAATGAGAGATTTTGATGGGATGGGCTTTGGAAAAGGACTAAGAATATAGCTAATAAATTCTTATTCAAAGAACAAGTCACCTAAATCATAACTCTTTCTATAAACTTGGGCTTTTATATGTACTCAGGTATAGAACTATATTGAAGAATCATTAGCATAGTTTTCAATTATATGAAGAATATGAGTAAAACAGTGTTCAGTACAGTGACAACATTCCATGTGAAAAAAACCTTTATTCTTAGAACACCACAGGAGACCAATTTCCAAAAATAATATTAAAATCATTTTTTAAAAGCTTTTCAGCTTTCTATTAACCTGGATGACCACTTGAATCCTCTCAATCTTAGCCCACTGTCTTCAAAAGCAGCGGTGAGACTGTTGACTTGTTAAACTGACAGAACACGCTCACACCTCTATCACATTCGATATATTTATATTTTTAAACATGTGGATGGCTTTCTGACCTTTGAATGCATGGATTTAATATAAAGCAGCCCTCACCCTAATTTTAAAAACTCAACTAAATCTACTTTATTAGAATTGAGGCAGGGTTAATATCATGATCACTACTGTAGTTAAAACCATAATGAACTCACATTGTAGGTACTGGACAAACCATACAATTAAACGTAGTCCTCCCTCCAACAACCTCCCCATGCACAAATGTGCCCAAAGATTATAGTTTTAAAAGCCCAACAGCAGCCCCACAGATACTTGGGTGATGATTAAATCTAAACTTTTACACACTTTGTAAGACAGTTTAAGTTCACTGTGAAGAGCTGAGGTAACAGTAACCCTAGAGTGATGTCAATATTAATTCATGATTCTAATAGAAATGTCAAGAGAAACCAAGACTTATTTGGAAAGGATGAATCACTGAGTCATATTTGCATTAATTGTAAAGGTGGGTTTTATTTCAAAATTTTGAAATACTGACAAGCCTTTGGAACTGAAGGATTAGGAAAGAACAGGGAAAGTCCCTTCTGCCCCCCTGGTCCCCCGCCCTTCCTCTCGCTTTCCCTTTGCACAGTGCTGTGTTTTTGAGGAAGGACCCTGAAACAGAAAGGGAGATGCTGGGTTGACTGCTGAGAAGATGCCCCTAAACTCTGCATCTCTCTCCCCAGTGGTGAGGTTTTCAGAAAAGCTTGCACACCATGGAAAGGAAAACAGAAAATGTAACTGCCTAGCAACAAAGAAAACCTCTTCTCCAGTGAACTGCTTGTACTTCTTACATGAGAAGCATAATGTTATAACTGACTAAGTTCTGAATGTGTGATGAGTTCCATGCGCAATGACCAATGAATTATTTTCTGTATGTGACAACCCCACCACTGACTGAGCTCAAAGGCCAGCGTGAGGAGTTCTTCTTGAGGACAACATGGCCAAGGCCACAGGGTGGAGCATCAAGGATGGAGTTGGGGGCACTCTCCTCCTTGTAACTGGGCACATTTTCTAAAATCAGATATATTCATATTTTCTGACCAGGACCCACTATAAGAAAACATATTCTTGTCCTGGCCAGTTTGGCTCAGCGGTTGGAGCGTCGACCTGTGGACCAGAGAGTCCCAGGTTTGGTTCCCACTAGGGGCACGTACAACAACAACAACAGCAACACCAAAAAAAAACATATTATTTTTATTATATTAGATTTCATTTTTTAAAAACCTCCTAACTTTTCAAACCCATTAAAATGATTTCAAAACCCTAAAGGGTCACAGTGATCTGAAGTTTGAAAAAGAATCTGAGGTGCCATCCAGAGAGTGCAGGTGGGAACTGGAGAGATAAAGTGTCTCTTCTTTCAAGATTATATTCAGCCACAACAGATGCCACTTAGATATAATTTTAGTACCTCATCTTGGATAGCAAGGAGGATGAAATTGCGCAAAAGAGTGACTTTTCACCATTTCTCTGTTGGATAATAAATTATAAAGAGAAAAAATATGCCGGAGCCTCTTGCCATAGAACACTTTTTTTTTGTGAGAACGTGCTATAAGGTACGTGACA